CACTTTCGTGCAACTTGGGATCCCAGAGGAAAGCCTAGAAGCATACCACGAACCACTGGTAGGATTCTCAGGCGAGAGAGTAATGACGAGAGGGTGCATTGACTTGTACACTCGCTTTGGTTTTGACCAAAAATCTTCCTGCGAGATCAAAATTCGCTACATCGTGGTGCATGCGAGTACATCGTACAACATCTTGCTAGGTCGACCTTCTATCAACGCAATGGGGGCCATTGTTTCGACCCCTCACCTATGCATGAAGTTCCCATCGAGGGACGGACAAGTAATTACCGTCCACGCCGATCAGAAGGTAGCAAGAGAGTGTTACCTTTCTAGCCTAAAGGTGCGACCTATTGCCGATCCCCCCACAACCACGAGAGGTGTGAATGTGGTCAAACAAGAGGCGACGGAGGACATTGACCTCGACCCTCCGTTAGGTGAGGAACAGCGGATCGAGCCCGCTGCGGAGCTCATTCCTTTTCAACTTGGCCGAGCCCCCGAACAGGTCACGCACTTGGGGTCTCAACTGAGCGAAGCCGATTCGAACCAGGTGAAACGAGCAGTTCGAGACAACAAGGACCTATTCGCATGGACGACGTCAGACATGCCAGGGATAGACCCCAAATTCCTATGCCACCGACTGGCCATATGCCGAGACGCCCGACCAATTGCGCAAAAGAAGAGGAAGATGGGAGACGAGAAGAGAAAGGCCGCCAATGCCGAAGTACAGAAATTGTTGCAAGCCAAATTCATCAGAGAGGTCACCTACACCACCTGGCTGGCCAATGTGGTGTTGGTCAAAAAAGCGAATGGGAAGTGGCGAGTGTGCATCGAATACACCGACCTTAACAAAGTTTGCCCCAAAGACGCTTATCCTCTCCCCTGCATAGACTGACTCATCAACGGGGCATCCGGGTACTCAGTATTCAGCTTTCTCAATGCATATTCCGGCTACAACCAGATAAAAATGCACTCGGCCGACGAGGAGAAGACGACGTTTATCACCGAGAACGCCAACTTTTGTTACAAAGTCATGCCATTTGGACTGAAGAACGTCGGGGCGACCTAACAGAGGTTAATGGACAAAGTGTTCCAGGGTCAAATCGGCTGAAATATCGAGATCTACGTGGATGATATGGTGGTCAAGTCCAACTCCCTGGCCGATCACATAATCGACCTAGCCGAAATCTTCAGAGAGCTTCGTAAGCATAACATGAGACTCAACCCCGAAAAGTTGTCGTATTTCTGGCATGGTTGACACTTCTTTACGAACGTTGCGCAATCAGTGTTCATGGTCGGCCAATAGTACCCAGCTCGCAAGAGTTTAGAGACAGTCGTCCTCGCTCCTGAGTGCATTCTGCAAATACCCTCGTGAACTTCTCTCGTCACGTAATCGGCCTCGGCGGGGTCTAGGCATTTAAGTAGTGGGGTAGAGAAGCCACGCTTGTATAACTGACCGGCGATGACAAATGGGTCGGTGCCACATTCAGTACTCGGAGAACTCTCATCTGGAAGTCGTCAAATGGGAGTTTTATGCCGAGGTCCTCGAACCAACACATATACGCATAAAAGTAATCGTCTTCATCAGACCCCGACTCCAGGAATACAAAATCGGTGTTCGGCCCCTCATCCTCGCATGCCTCGGCAAGTAGAGGAAACTCGTCTTCGCCTACCCCGAAACACTTTTCTAAGGACATGAAGGTGTCTAATAACCCTTGGTCCGAGAGCGATGAGAAATATATTCCGACCTCTCCGTCCACCCATTCATACCCGGGCATCTCCACCTTACCGTAATCAATTTTTGCCTTTGGCCGAACATTCGGACCACCCACGCCCTTGCCTCGAAAATCACCGAGCACCTCTAATTCATGCCCACTTGCGTCGGCATGAATGGTCTCGGCACGTGGGCTTCGCTGGCTGACCCGGCCTACACCTCTAGCATCTACCTCAATGGCTCATGCCAAAGCCACAGCCAAAGTCACCAGGGGCGATACCTCAACCACTTCATCCCCACTGTCCTCCTGCTCGGAAAAATCGGAGGGAAACACTACTTCACATTGCAGGGGAGGCAACCTTGATATTTCACTTGAACCCGACCCCTCTTTATCCAACGCATCACCTGACGCCTCCGAGGACGTCCAGCTCCTTGCCGAGGAGTAACCCCTATCCATTTATTACCAAGAATAAAGAATACAAAATTTTCCTTTGATCGGTTTGCTCGGACGAATCTGGTTTCGAGAGCGCTCGGGAAAATTACAGCAAGTAAATCCCAAGCAGCCCCCCTATTTATAGCAAGGTAAATGGGGGAGGTGAAAAGACGTCCCGAAACCGCAACCGTTCGATCTAGACCATCCAACGGTCCAGATTTAATAACCGTTGGGCCCGTAACCGCTAGGGCCAACGTGGAAGACCGCACCCACCGAGGCCTTGGCGCAAACTTCAACCGCTTGAGACACAGACATGGGTTTCATCCATCTAAGGCCTCGGCATAAGCTCACCTAACCAAGGTCTCGGCATGGGCTTCATCCATCTGAGGCCTCGGCATAAGCTCACCTAACCAAGGTCTCGGCATGGGCTTCATCCATCTGAGGCCTCGGCATAAGCTCACCTAACCAAGGTCTCGGCATGGGTCCTATTCGCCTTAGGCCTCGGCATAAACCTTATCTAACCGAGGTCTAGGTCTACGATCCGTCCAGGCAAGGTCTCAGTATAGGTCCCTTTCGCCTGATGTCTCGGCATAACATCATAAATCAGCCGAATCGACAGCCTTTAACGTTAGAGCTCGACCACTGCCACCGCCCCCAAAGGAGGATTGCATTTTCGGCTAGTATAGTCGGCAATATATGATAGTACCCGGTACAACTACCGAGGACATCGAAAAACAGCTACACCGGGAAACACAGCCCTACATCGTTAAACCGTCTTCGTCTTTGGCATCCTCGACGCTGCGGGGGTTGTATACCGTATGGTGGCCGACCAGGCCGAATACCCGAGCCCACGGCCGATTGGATCGAATCCCCGAATTCGCGAATGGTTAGTCCGAGTACCCGAGTCCACCGACCACTCTTAATATGAACAAAACATGTCGGTGTGTGATGAAGATTTTCGCAAACCTATCACTTGGCAAGTGAACCAAGTTTCGAAGTAGTATTTAAAGATCGTCCTCAGGGATTTGCGTGTTTAGTAATTCTCGCTCAAATGATTTAAAAGAGAATGAGTTTAAAAATTCAATTGAGTGAAAACAGATTCAAACAACACAATAAAGCAAATGTAGTAAAGACAATGATTAAGAAACAAGGATTGGCTCAGATGCACTTGCTAACTCATAGATCTTCTTAACATAAATGCAATTCTAATTTCATTATTTCCACGTTCATTAAATAATCCAACAAGATTCCTCAAGGTTGAATCCTAAAGTCATTAAGCTCAAAACATGATTCCTCAATGTTTTGAGTCTAACACTTCGCATTAAGAACAATAACTTGAACAATGTGACTAACCAAATCAAGTCTATTCCTAGAACAAGAGGTGATTAGGTGCAAGATTCAGTTCGGGTTTTCGAAAGCGTTTTCCAACTGGATTCAAAAGCCAAAAATCATACAACGGTTGATCAAGCCGATATAAGCGTTAAGCGAAGAATCATTACACAAATAATGAGATCAAAATGCATATATTTAAGAAGAAGAGGAGTTAGTAGTTACATCTAACCAATCCTTAAGAAGTTTAGCCACCCATGGCCATTACAGAATCAAAGAGTGAAAAGAAGAAATTACAAAGCAAAGGATGAAGAAATGGAGTTGATCTTCGTTCCCAAAGGATCCAGCTTCCAAGTCTCTGTTCTTCCTTCGTTCTTCCTTCTTCACAAGCTTTTCCCCTGTTTTTCTCTGTTAAATTCGTGCTCTGTATGTTCTTTCCCCAGGTTCTCCTCCTTTTTCCCTTTTATATCAGCTCTAAAACTGGGCAAAAAGTGAAATTTTTAACTCCACCGCTGCAGCTGTAGAACCACAGCTATGGCTGTGGAGAATCCTTCAAGGTGAAGTAACTTCTGGCGCTGCAGCTGTAGCTTTGCAGCCATGGCTGTGGAGACTCCTTCATTATTAAGCAACTTCCTGAGCTGTAGCTGTGGAACCACAGCCATGGCTGTGAGTCTCTGTGGCTTCTCTTGATTTCCCAAGCCTCAACGCTCAAGCCTTGGACCCTGCAGCTGTAGCTTCAAGTCTCTGGAACCAAAAATGAGCACTCCAGATTTCCACAGCTATAGCTGCAGAACCACAGCTATAGCTGCAAGTCTCTGGACCTCTAAATCCTTCCCAGACTTCCACAGCTCGAGCTCCAGATCCACAGCTATGGCTGTGGATCTCTGCCTAGCCAAAAGATCCTGCACAAAATGAGAAAATTCATTAAGATTGCTACTACTCCTCTACTCTTATAGTATGACTTAATTCTATAAATTAAAGGGGTGAAATACATATATATTTTCTACAATTATATATAAAGATTGCCAAAAGTTGAGTGCAAAACATACAAAAAAGGACACTCAACAGTGTGCTCGGCCGAAACTCGTACTTACGCCAAGATGATTACGGAGAGATTAATTTACGTAATGCACCGGATTAAACCCCTAATTTTCCAGGGCCCAATCCTTAATCACGGCCCAATAAGAATCACTATAAATAGGACCCTAACGAGGTATGTAACTAACTTTCAACTACCGCATTTATTACGCCGAGCACTTACTTGAGAGTTGGAGTGTCTTTGCAGGCACACCCCCCTCACATCGGACTACCCGGATAGGAACGAAAAGACCGAGACCTAGGATCAGACCCGCTACAACAAGGATAATTGAAGTGTGTATCCTAACACAGGAACACAAAGTGATGTAAGAATTAATACATTTGTATTTATATGCAATTTCCAAAACAATGAATCAATATTAAGCTTCGCTATTTTTTTTTATTACAAATTAAGAATAAAGAAAACATGGTAGCAGAGTTTGAAACAAGTCAACAAAATGGGCACCTCGAGTAATTTGAACTTTGAAGGAATACATAGAAATATGTTATTGGAAATTATCATATTCCTTGTCCGAATTATATCCATGCCAATTACATGAAACAAAATTAGAAATACATTGAACTTCGAAATAACTGAAGTAAACTTGCACAAAATTATCTCGTGTGCATTACTCATCTTCAATCTCCGAAATCCCCTCATCTTCAATCATCGAAGTCTCCTCAACATTTTCACTTTCATTAGTCAATGGGTCTTTCCCCATTTGTTGTATTCGTTTCAACTCCATTGCCACATACTCCATGCTAGGCCTTTGCCTCCCTCTAAGTTTCAAGCACTTAGCAGCAAGATTAGCAACCTCCTTGATCTCTAGCTCGTTGTTTCCATCATCCCAAATATCCATTTGAATAACTTCAACTAGACGACCCTCTCTCAAGTAAGACAGAAAGTGCATTATAAGGCTTCGTTTTTCCTCTGGCCTATCAAAACAAAAAGGTTTCTCTCCTGTTAATATTTCTACAAGAACCACCCCAAAGCTATAAACGTCACTTTTTTTAGTCAATTGGCTTGTTTGCATGTACTCTGGGTCTAAATAGCCAACAGTTCCCTGCACAATTGTGACTAAATCAGTTTGATCGAGTGCAACCAATCTTGAAGCTCCAACTTCAGACACTTTGGCAGTGTAAGTGTCGTCTAAGAGTATGTTGGAAGTCTTGATTGGATAGGTATGTCTATAATTCTTTTTAGAGTGTAGATAAGATAGAGCTTCAGCCGTCTCTGTTGCTATCCTTAGATAGGTTTCCCATGATACATTATCTGCCTCAGATTTGTTGTGTAGATAATCAAAAAAGGTACCCTTGTTGACAAATTCGTAAATCATTAAAGGAACATCCGTCTCTAGACAACAACCCAAGAACTTGACCACATTCTTATGATTAATTTGTGATAGGGAAAGGACCTCATTAATGAATTGCTTAACTCGGCTCTGAGGAACTCTTCTAGACTTTTTGATAGCAACAGTCTTGTTATTTGATAGAACTCCCTTGAAAGCTGTACCGAAACCTCTTTTACCGATGATTGAGTTTTTATTAAAATTGTTTGTGGCTTTCTTAAGTTCATCTGAAGTGAAAATTGTAGGAGATTGAGACGAGTCTTCTCCTGGAGGGGGTTGCTGCTGATCTAGAATCATACCACCATTTTGCTGAAAAAACATCTTCTTTAATTTGGAGGCTTTTCTTTTCTGGTAATCCAAGTATATCCCAGAAGTCCCCACAGATAGAACAATTGCTCCCGCTCCTACTCCAAAACCTGTTTTCAAAATATTATGAATGCAGTTCAACTATTGAGCATTTATTTAATGGCTAAATAATTTTTAAAATTGAAAATACTAACGACAGCCAAGTGACAAAAAAAATTAACCCAAAGACCAAAATACTTATTTGCTTATGCTTACCAATGCCGGCCTTGGCAGATTTATTTTTTCTATGCTTATTGTTTTTGTTGGAAGTATCATTTCGCTGATTTTTGTCGCACTGTCCACCTTTATTTGTTCTATTCTTGTTTTTTCCTTTGCGGGGGACACATTTGAATGAGCCAGAGGTTTCAACACAATCTTGTTCACATGTGCAATTGTGTCTCCCAGTTGCACATTCCAAAATATCTACAAATGCGTAACAGAAATAATAATTTGATCAAATAGCAAAAGTAAGATAACCATGGTCGCAACAAATAAACACTATATGAATATCTCTTTAAAAGCTTCTCTTCAATAGAAGTGTATTTAGATTTTTTTTTTATGAAAGAGTTTTTAGAGATTTCTTTAATTTATTTATTTTAATTTTAGGTTATTATATTTATTTATAAATTAAAATTTCATATTTTAAATTATATAATAAAAAAATTAGTAAGACTAATTATGTAATATTACTATTCTTTCCAATCATAAGTGTAAAATATTTAGTATTACGGAGTAAAGAGTAGGGATGAGCATTAAACCAAGATCTGAACCAAACCCGAAAAATTCAATAAAAAATATTGCTTTTGGGTGGGTTCGGGCGGGTCTTATAGGTAAATCGAGTTAAAATTTTGATTTTATACGGTTATATTGGGCGGGTTTGGTTTTAAATTTTTAAACCTGCTAAAAACCGAACCTAACTGAAAATGAGATAAGTTTATATTTTTATTACTTTTGTATAACTAAACAACAATGGTCCAAACTTAAAAGTTTTTATTTCAAGTATAATATAGTCATCAATTTATAACTTATTTTTTTCTTTTTTCTCATAACTTAGATATTTATTTTGTCTTCTCCTTCCTCATTTGACTTCTCAACACACTAGTCCATTTTTAGGATTTTCTTTTTGTTTCTTTCTTTGTCTTTCTTTTCCATCTTCTTATCTCTATTTTGAGTACAACTTGTGCGACTGTGGTTTCTTATAGGTTTTGTAATCTAACTTAATTTAAATTTCTTTTGCATGTAACAACTATGAATTTTGTTATCTTTTATTTTTGCTTCTTTAGTTTGTAAATGTTTCATCTATGAATCTACTTACACCATCTATTGTCACCTTCATTCTATTTTTATACACTATTTTAATATAAAAAAATTATCGTTTTAAGCTTCATCTTCATTAAGATAACTTGGTTTACAAAAAAATTCAAACCCGATTATATCCATCCGCTCAAATTCGAATCTGTTTCAACTCGAACTACCTCAAATCGAAAGCTCAGTCGGTCGGATATGGGTCACATTTTTTCAAAGTCAGTTTACAACGGGTTAAAAAATTTTCACCTGAACCCGACCAAACTCACTTGTTGCTCATCCCTAGTAAAGAGAGTATATTAACTTACCTTTGTAGTTAACATGAATTTTTTATCCTTATATTAAAAAATGGAGGAAGACTTTGTTAAAAAAAAATTGGTTAGTGAAAACCACGGACAAACACAATTGATTTTTAATTATCAAGAATACAGTAAAAAATTTGGAGGAGAAAGTAATTTCTTTATCAAATTTTTAAGCTCAATGGTTCAAGTAAAGCAATTAATCATTCATTCAAGTATTTCAAGCAACAATAATTATAGTTAAATTTAATGTTGAGCATAATTACTTAATTAATTACCTTGGCAACCAGTTGGAAGGTATGGGTTTCCCTCAAAACCCGCTTTACATGCGCAACGGTAGCCATATCCAGTGTTGGAGCCCATGCAATCGCTATTCCTCTTACATGCATAATCAACACTACGCTTGGAAACGTTACACGTCACGTTTCCAACGCTCCAATCCACGACCAAGGATGTCTTGCGAAACGGCAGGCCGTTTAGGTGGTCCAACGAGAAAGTGTAGTTGCCGTTTTCGACAACAAAGGAGTAGCTGCAGTTGCTGAAGTCGGAAGAGGACTCGAAGTTGTTAAAGCTGAATGTCTGAAAACTAATGTTCTGCATCTTCGGAGGTATGTCCACGTGGCAGCACCCAATCCCCGTGCAGTTTCCACCTCTCTGCTGCATGCTATTCATGCTCTCTTTGCTTCCGCACGTTGTCAAGCACCCCGTCGAGGATTTGGTTCCGTTCACGTAACTGTTGAAGTAGCCGTAAGTGTCGCACCCTACGCTTACGAACGTGTTGTCCTTGCTGGAAATAGCAAAACCCGGACTTCTCAACCCAATTTCTTCACCTTCTGTTGGTACTCTTTCACTTCCGTTTCTGCACACCGTGGAGACGCTGAAGAGCATGTCCATTTTGCCCCCGAGTGCTATGTTCAAGATTTCGACGTTGCCGCTACCGCCATGGAGTAAAGTGGAATTTTGGCACGTGAGCTCCAATGCGTCCTCCAAGAAGCACTTTTCGCCGCTGACCGATGACACGCCTATGCCAAAGGGATACGGAACTGAAACGCTTCCGCATTTTTTGGGGCAGCCGGGCAGGGCTTGGTCAGCTGCTGCTGCTGCTAACGCCATCAGCACTAACACGGTCAGTTGCATCAGCGTCACCTTCACTTCCATTGTCGTCTTATGTACACAGTATATCACTCAACACTTGCGTAGAAGATTATCATGAGTTGTGCTTTCTCTTCTTTTTCCACCAAACTTTATAGCAAGGAGAAAGGAGTGTTAAATATTTTATAAAATTTTTTTTTTATTAAAAGTAATACAACAACAACAACAAAACAAACACTTTTTATATAATATTATTAAAGGTAGACTAGTCCAACTCCTGGACAATTCAAGCGAATTTTTTACGTAAATATAATATATTTTTTTTTAAATTACAAAAATACATATGTTAAAATTTATTTACGAAACTAGTACGGATTATTGTGCAAACTCAGAATTTGGTTCCCAGATAATCAAATTCTGAGTTGTGTTTTAATTTTTTTTTTTTATTTGTGGCCAGTTTGTGCGATTCTGGGAAGTGGAACGGGCCGTTCTGGAAACAGAATGGCTCATTCTGCTTAAACTCATACACTGTTATTTTTTAAATTGGAACGGGCGAACAACGAGCCATTCTAGAAGTGTATGTGTTTAAGCATAACGGGTCGTTCAAGCTTCTGTTTTAGACTCTCTTGAAAAAGTATTTTATATTAATAATTATATAATTTTTCTAAATTTTTATAACTTAAAAGTTACATTTTGTATTTTAAACAATTCACTTAAAAAAATTATTTTTAAAAAATATACAAATGTAATTTTTTAAGATTCTTTTTAAAATATTTTTATTTTTTATCAAAAGATATTATTATATTTTGAAAAATTATTTTAAGATTTATTTTAGATTTAATGATATGTTTAGACAGCATAACTAAAAATATAAATTAAAAGAGATAATTAATAGTATACTAAAAAGTTAGTATGGAAGTTATTTTATTTTATGGTGTATTTTTCTTTTAATACAAGAAAAAAAAAAGTATTATATATTATGTAGTGATGGGTTGAAATGATAAACACTTTAACAGTTCTCGTGTTAGTAATAATTTCTCGTTATACCGAGTAAGAAAGATAATTTAACACAATGTTTTTTGTCACGCGGCCGATTAACTCATTCATTCTTGTCTCTCTACAATATTTAGTTAATTAGTCGAGTGGTTGTTTTCATGATGGAACTTGAAATAGAATTTTGCGATAATATCTAATCCGTTTTGACATTTTGAGAAATAGTCGGTTTGATTGAGTATAAGCATGTAAGCATGAATATGATAATATCCAATTTATTGAATTAGATAAATTAGACATGGGAAAGATATGTATATTTCTTCTCATCTCATATTTGTATTTGTTTTAAACTTTTAAAAATTCAATTTATTTTTGTTTAGAATTTAATTGATATTTTATATAATTTTTATTTTATTATATTTTAAATTTATTTTAAATAAAATTTAATTAATATAATTTTGTAATTATTATTTTATGTTGAAATTTTGTTTTATATTTTTTTCAAAAAATATTTAATTTTTTTGAGTGGGTACGAGATAAATACGGGTATACCTGATGTCCAACGTGAGCAAGGATAGGGACAAGAATGGGTATAGGGTACAAGAATAGGGATGGAGATATTGAAACTTGTATTCTCCTTATCTTGTTGTCATCCCTACTTCACTTGTAGGCTTGCTTTCTCTTTTTTCATCTTTTTTCCTTGAAGAATAAGACGTTCATTAGTGTATTAAATATGTTTCACCAAATTCTCATTTTTTATATGATCGATCGAAGTGGTTAAGATACAAAACAAAAGGAATTATTGCGTGTATCAATTAAAAATGACTTTATCTATGACTTTATACACTTCAAAATATTTGTTTTTCTTTTCTCTGACGAAAAATAAATCTTTGTTTCCTTTTGAAGTTCCAGTACCCAAGAAACTTTTATTCTTATGATTAGTTAAGGAATAACATAGACATAAAAAAAAAATTATCAAACATAATAAATGATATGTTCAATGCATTCGTCTTAGATAGACAAAATGTTCCATTTAAGAGATTATGTGTCATCATAACCAATCATCTTTTATATATTATCATCTTTTTTAATATGATCCTAAAAACACTTCTTTATATATATATATATATATATATATATTCTAGTTTGTTAACATTCAAACATGTATTCTTAAGAGTCTTAAGATCGTCCTTTAATTAATCTAACAATTTTCCCCTTTAGATGATGATAAACACATTTTTGAAAAACATAGTTTTACATGCATAATATCTAGTTAATTTCAACTAATAGATGAATATGCGACCATATGAGGTATGTTAATTAGATCATATAATTATCATATAAGAGATATAACATGTTAAGTAATATTAAGTCAAAAGATGATCCCTTATGTTTTATAAAATTTTAATAATAAAAAACACTACATTTTTTAGTAAGAAACCACATTATAAAATTGTTGTCTCTAACTGAGTAAGACGAAGTAGTGTTTATAAGACAAAGCTATTCAGACAAAGCATACAAAACCTTTTCTAACGATCATTATTTATTATGACTAACGATTTTAAATGTTCAAATGAATGTTTTATACCTCAACTTTTTCAAACCAGTAAAGTAATAAAGTTAGCCCTAAGAAAAGCATAGGAAGAGATAATAAAAAAGGACAAAGTATTTTTATGTTGGTTTGTCTCGACCATCGAGACTACATCCAGTTCTTGATTAAGTTTTACTATCTTTGCGAAAATATAAGTATTCTTTCATAAGCTACTTTTGACTCAACTTAAGAATTGTTTGAATATTCTCTTCAAGCAACTACCCAAATATTCTTTGAACAATGAAGTCTCTACATGCTTCAACAACTAAATATTCTTTTGCACAAAGTCTCTTTAGGCTTCAAGTCGAAACAAAAGGTTAAAGCTGGGTAATAACAATTGTTTCGTCTTGTTCACAAAAAATGGTACAACAATTAAATGCATAGCTTTACACAAAAAGAATGAAAATGAATTTTTACAATCATTATTCTCACTTTTTGAGACTTCAAGCTCCTTTATATAGTTAATTGATGAAGATGACCGTTGCAAATTCTTAAGTTTCATCTCGTAGACTTGTTGTTTTATCTTTCTTCCTTATAGAATAAGATGTTCATTGATCCATTAAATGCATTTCATCAAATTATCATTTTTTATGATCAAAAAAATTACTTATCACATTTAAGGTATAAAATACAAAAAAATTGTATGTATTAGTTTGAAATAAATTTATCTGTAACTTTACACACTTCAAGATATTTATTTATTTTTTCTCTGACAAAAAATAAATCTTTATTCATTTTTGAAGTTTAAATGCTATTTTTTTATTTCTTCAATTAGGTGAGGAATATCATAAACAAAAAAAATATAATTATAAGCATAATAAATGATATATTTAATACATTTATCTTATATAAATGAAATGTTCTATCTAAGAAATTATACATCATAATTAATTGTCTTATAATATCATGTAATATTATCTTTCTTATCTTAAAAATACTTCTTTATAAAAATGTTCTAATTTATTAGTATTAAAATATGTACTCTTAATGAATCTTATATCAATTTTTTTATTTGTTATGGAAGTTTCAATTACTAAATCGCATTAATAGGAAGATATTATTAAAGTTGTTGAAGGAGGGGAATCTATCAAAACAAGACGACAATGTACTAAAAGAAAAAGAAAAAGCGGGGAAGGCCTAGTCTATTATTTGAAATAATTAAATATATCCGCTAGTGTATCGTACATGTGGCAGGTGTAAATGTCTATTGAATGGTTAGTCGTTGATGACAAAGACTTTTTTTTTTTTTTTTTTCGTTCTTAGAGTATCTAACGTCAATAGGCGGTGATTAATCTCCTCGTTATGTTGGAAGCACCTCAAAATGTGGAATAGCTGACCTCAAGATTTAAGGTAGGATAATTGGCCCCAAGATTTAATGTAACTGCATACACAAAATAAGATTCAAAACCCTGACCTTATTTAAAGGTAGATCAATCCCTTTAACTGAACTATCCGCTCGGGGTTGTTGAAGACAAAGACTTGTTATCCACAGTTGGTTCATTTTGATAATTCTATTTACTATAGGGAAATGTTGTATCCTTCGAAAGGCTGAAAAATTATCGGAATAATTAAAAAATTATTTTTTAATAAATTCATTATAAAATAATTATTTTATAATAAATTTATTAAAAAATAATAATTTTTTAATCATTCAAAATATTTTCGGCCTTTATTTTAGGAAGTGTAGCAATGCTCTTTATTATAATATAGTATATTTTAAGAAAAATGCTATATTCTTCGTACTTATATTTCGAATGATCTTTTGACTAATTAAAAAGCTTTTTTTCAACCCCAAGCGTGTGGTTCAGCGGTAGGGGTTGATCTACGCTTAAGCAAGTTAAATCTTGGGGCCAGCTATCCCACCCTTTGAGGTGCCTCCAACGTAGCGAGGAGATTAGTCACTGCTGTCGGCGGTGGATACTCCAGGAACGAACCTAAAAAAAAAAGCTTTTTTTCTTTTTAACTAAAATTTATATTTTATAATTAAAAAATTATAAATATTAATCATAATTAATTCAGACATGGTTTCTGTCAAAATATCATTGCTCATATTTTAAAGAAAAATTTTAGATCCTTCGAAATTATGCGTTAAAACTTATTCCAAATCCTTAAAAAACTAATTTAAACAATAAAATATTTAATTAAATAATTATTTTAAAATAAATTTATTGAAAATAAAAATATTTTAAGATTTCAGACGCTATTTTGATTTATTTGTCGAAAAATATAGCAAATGACTATTTTAAAGGAGATAGGATAATACGATTGGATGACGTTGTGGTGCAAACGTCAGCCTAATACTACAATAATACTGATTGTGACATGTGTTGCAATCATTTTCGTTAAATATTAGCTGTATCGCAAAAGTGTGAATGCCCAAACAATACTCATGGTTGGATTATGTTAAAAAAAAATCAATACATTAGTTACTAAAATTTTAAGAATTTTTACTTTTGTTATTAAGCTTTAAAAAGTTGTGATTAGGTTTCTATCTACTAAAATTTTCAAGTAATTCCCTAAAGAGAATTTACAGAGGTT